AAACACCTTTCTTAAGTCATGAACAGTAAAGTTGGCATTGAATAAGAATCAATGATTACAAGAGCATAATAATTTTGTAAGAATGGACCACAGTAATCAAGGCGGACACACTGCTAGACTTCCCAACCCAATGGCCAGGGCGTCCACTTAGATGGCTGACTTTTTACCCTGTGTTGGCAACCTTCACATCGTAAAGCAGTCTGTCGAATATCATCATCATTCCCACACCTCCAGCACAAACATCAGACCATAGAATACATTTTTCCATACCTAAATGTCCAGCATGAAGGTCAGGCAGGAGAGCAACTCGTAAAGGCGGAGAAATCACAATACCATTATTGACAAACAATATGCCATCAGGAGTAGCACACAATTCATCACAGCGTTGCGAAAATTGGGCAAACTTACATTCCAACAGATGTGACCAGCCTCGTTTTAAAGCTGTTAATATTAAATAAATAAATAAATGAACGTTTTATTCCTCAGCAGTGCGAGGCAAAGACCAATTGGGTGGTCTTATCAACATGTACAACGTGATCGCATAATATAGTTAATTGTTCGTCTTTTGATCAAAGGTTCCCATAAGGGTTTTGAAATGATTAGCAGTCAATTGGCCAGCCACAATTTGATGGAAAATCTTGGCGAGTGACGACGATGGTACAGAGACATCAGCTTGGAAGGCGTAGAGCATCAACGAACCAGTGCGTCAAAGGAGAAAACAGAATTGGTTAAACGGATTAATAGGAGTAAGATCGTTCTCAAATATATACTCAAGAATGCAATTATATGTAGGTAATCTTATATTATTGAAACGAATAGAAGATATGGTGACTTTCATACGTAGCCAGGACCTTTCTCATACAAATCATCTAGAGTCACCGTTTGGCTTAGTGTTGACCAGATGTTTGCAACAGCCAGGTGAATATTAATCATGTGTCTGAATTGTGCATAGGTAGTGCAGTTTCTAACACTCGATGGAAGTTTGTTCCATATTAACGCGTATTTTACAGAGAAAAATTTTGAGCGGAGCATTGTGCGAGACTTTGGTATTTTCACTGTGCGCTCGCTGTTTCTTAGTTCATAGCGCGTACGAGTCTGAAACTCGAGTTGTGGCTGAGCAGTGAAGGTCAATCCGAATAGTAAGCGGTATAAAAGGCACAGATTAAGTTTGAGTCTGCGTAGCCATAGCGGCTCCAGATTTAGCGCCTCGCAACGCTCACGGTATGTCATAGTATTAGGCATGTTCAGAAACCTTTTTGTGAATGATCGTTGAATGTTTTCTAGTGCTATAATATCCACTTTTCTCAGATTACTATGCACTATCGTACAGTACTCAAGTTTCGGCCTAACACATATTTTAAAGGCTTGAAGCCTGGAATCCCTCAAAATAAGAGTTCGACTTATTTAGGCGATCACTTTTCTGGCAGAAGCCTGCAAGAATATAACATTCTCTAAAAAGTTAAATGAGGCAGAATATCTTAGACCAAGGTCTCGGACTGCGCCACACATAGGAATAGGGGTATCGTTTAATGGAAGGATGTTTAGAGAAGGGCCACAGCCGTAGTACAATAGATTACTCTTGTCCGTGGCAAAGTGCAGCTTCCAGGCGTTACTCCAGAGCTCCAATGCGGACAAGTCAGACTGAATATGGGCTAAGTTAGGACTACGTTGCCCAGGGGTGGAACAATACACAATTTTAACATCATCTGCGAAAAGGTACGGCTTTCCATACGAAATTTCGTGGAGGAGATCGTTGAAATAGATTAAGAATAAAAGCGGGCCTAGCACGCTACCTTGAATCACTCCACTAGAGATTGTACTGGCTTCAGATGTATAGTTACCGATTTTGACTACTTGCTTTCTACCCTCGAGGTAGGAAGACAACCAGTCTAGAAGCGAATTAGTGATACCATAGGACATAAGCTTCAGCAGCAATAAATTGTGTGGGACACGGTCAAAAGCCTTTTGGATATCAAGAAATATTACGATGATAGCACTTCCAGCGTCTCTTGCTCTAGTCACATAATCAAGGTAATCTAACTGGCAGGTAGTGCACGACCTACCTTTCAAAAAACCGTGTTGATGTTTACTGAGAAGGCTCATAGAACTCAAATATTCTATTATGCGTTCTTTAACTATCCTCTCCATGATTCTGGAAATAATAGATGTGTGGTGGATTGGGCGGTAATATTTTACATCTTGCATAGATCCGCTTTTGTGCCTTGGTATTATAGTTGATTGTTTCCAGTGTATAGGATACTCCCCATTGAGCATGGAAAGTGTAAATACATTAAGCAAAAACAGGGGGATGTCTGGACCTCCGTGCTTTACCAGTATTGGAGGGATGTTGTCAGGGCCTGCTGAGCATGATGGCCGAACTAATCTGTTGGCGACATATGTCAGTAAGTGTAAATTCAACAGTTTGGAGTGTATTACCCCCTCTGTGTATCAGCTTGAGCTGAGGATCATCTTTCGCATTAACGCCATAAGTAGACATAAAGTAGTCATTGAAGATCGAACATATGATTGCACCGTCGGTTATGGCAGTTCTAGCTGCACTAGAAAAGGAAGTGACTGAGCAAATAGACAATCAACTTCACAATCAGTTTCCAACGAACGAACATGTCGAGAGAGATAATCCACATGGAGAGGTCTTTAGCAATTCTGTGTTCAATATTCAGTATCCTTGGTAATACACCATAAGAAATCTCAAGTAGTACAACATTTACAAGTACTACGGTAAAACGAAATATAAACGTAAATAAGTCCATCAGAGTTTAGACTTTTTCTCACCAAAATGAAGAACAGGGAGAAGGACGGTGCTAAGCAAGTCGTCATGACCTGCATGCATAAATTTTACGTTGAAAGAATTCTGAGCCAACGAAATTAAACCCGAGATTTTAAAAAGATCGAAAGCTAGGTGAATTCACTGACTGAGTTTGGAAGACAAATAAGCGACAGAATGGAAAATATCCACGTTTGTACTCACCAGTTAGAGTGAAGTTGTTTAGTCGCAACGCATCCAGCCGACCATGAAATGCGTTTCGAGTCTTCACAGTTCAACAGGTTCTGCAAGTATTCGCATTGCCTCAGTATTCATAAGACAGTGTATTATCCAGCTGTTTCTACGAGCAGTCTAAGTCCTTGCTTTGCGGCTTCTGAGATCCCGAGAAGTGGAAACATTTCTTTTTCGATATCTCGGAACATATTTCGCACCGATCGGGAAGTCATCACTTCAAAAAACTTGGTAGACGACCGGTGCATATATTTTGGTGATACACATACACCATAAATATACTAACCGGTCGTCTACCAAGTTTTCTGAAATGAACATTTCACTTTTGCACTTAGTTATTGGCAGCATCACCAAAGCCAACTTGTAGTGAGCACCAACAGAGCTGGTTTACTGCACAACAACCAAGATCCCGGAAGCAGTTCTTTTCACTCCCGTTTGTTGTGAACGTCCCCTATAAGTTTGCATCCTCCATTACACAATGAGTGAGTTCACTACGCTAGTCATTTCCTCACGAGCATACCAGAAATCTACAGTTGCATTAACGACTCTTTACCCGCACTCAACTCTTCATCCACACAGAAGCAGGGCTGCGCCTTCTCTAACCTCCTCACACAGGCCCTTGCATAGTTCTGTAACGAACTCCGAAGCACTCTATTTAAGTCAAGATTGGTCAACCAACAACACAGGGTCTATCAACCGACTCAAAGTGGCCTGCTTCGACGAACCTTCTCCAACCCATCCTGGTGCTGTCGCACAGATACCCGCACGAAATAAACCTAAACACTCCGCCTAGCCCCACATAACACCATGTCCCCAACCGACACGGAAGACAGGACAAATGTTTGTTCCACTTTACAGAGTTTGCAAACGCTTTTTTATTTCTATTAACACGCGTGATTTTCGCTTTTTGCAATCGCCGCGCCAACTCGACAAAAAACCCAAAAGCATTTTTAAAAACTATGAAAGCGTATTTTCTCTTAACTTGTATGCAATGTTTCCTTTCCAGGCTTTACATTTCCAATCCCAAATGTTCTATTTTACAGAATCCAAAATTCCAACATCGTCAGGACGACCACTGAGTCACTGCTACTAGGCTCGGGACCCGTCATTAACCCAACCGACAAGCATTCGCACCTGATGGCGGACGGCAACAATCGGATTGTTCCACAAACGCCTGGCTAGATGGTGCCGAGGAAGATGCCTCTAGTTCTCTGAGGGGCGAAGTATGTTTTGGTGTGGACTAGAGGGCAGCATGGTGAGTAACACCTGCCAAGCGCACGGTTGCACATGCGGCGAATGAAATGTCATGCCGGTCTTTTATCTAGACTAGCGGTTTTTCGGTTCAACCAACCCGCGTTGAGGACCCACTATTGGTGTACACAGATGACACACCCAAATTATAAGTAACAAAGCGGCCTAGACTCAGCAACTGCGCGAAACAAACTGATTTCAGAAGTACCTGTACGTTTCTACATGTTACTCCTCGCGCCTATTCTCACTTCGCCTCCCTATTCTGACAGTTTTTCCAAAGGACTGTATCACACAGCCTTCTAGTGGGAGGAACTTGTAGGGAACCCGGACCATGCATTCATTCATTGTTTCACAACATTGGACATTAATGATTGTTGTAACTTTCTACTTTTCATTCTTTACGGATTCTTTATGCCCTGTATTTAAGTTGCACATCTTTCTGGCTGATTTGTCTTCCAGACCTTGTAGCGTAAACCGTATACACAGTCTAGTTTTCCAAATTTTCTCCATCGTTCCGCATTTGACATGTTTCCTAATTGTCTTCCTTATCGACCAGTACTATAGGTACACCCAGTACTATCAAGCAATCGTTCAGCATCATATGCACACGCGATCTGCTATGACCAGTTGTTGGCGGACTCAACTGTCTTCTTCATTACCATCTTTTGTATGCTGCGTCAAATCAAATACCCGTGCCATCAGTGTGAAGGTAAGTCATAAAATGCCAGACATTGATAATCAAAAGGAGATTCTATTTGAACTCATAAAACAACCGAATGAAAAATAAGCCTCCGCCATAGTGTTAACATTACTTTTAGCGTGTATGGTTCCGCACACGCTGAAGGAACTCATTCAAACCTAGATAGGAGTAGGTTAAAACGAGATAACAAAGCTAATTCCTCACTTTGGCCTCCTGTTCCAGTGGACTCCAATGACTTCACTTTAGCTGGTTGCTCACTAGCCGGCTTCATGATAAACCTAAAAACACGCATATGGATATCTATAAGTTGATCGATCTTACTTGTCCACCAAAGAGAGGTGAGCCAGACGGAATTTTCGCATTGCAGAGGTAAGTGATTCGTAATTCATTCTCAGTCTCACATCATCTGTGGTTTTACCTGTTGGAAAGAGTTGTATCCTCTCATTAGCATAATAAATATAACGAATTACATTCCTAATAATTATACTTTTGTTCGATCATATGAAAAGCTAAGAAATATATTCGGGTGTGACTCAGGATGAAAAGCGCTGATCACCAAATTAACTGATGAGCAGTACTAACGTCCACATAGAAAAATCTGCAATTTGCGGTGTAGCATGTGTTAGGAAGGAATACGCGAGTCGAACAAGTCAGGACTCCATCGCCGCGGCCGACCATCCAAACTCATCCGCTCTGATTGGGGCTAACAGGAAGCCAATCAGGAGAAGCGGCCAATGAATGCTAGGTCGAATTTCCTTTATTGGTTGTAAGTTAACTTTTCCAGAGCTTTCCAATGTCGCTTTAAATACTACTCACGAAGTTTCCATTTTACCTTTGTAATGAACTGTGTGATTTGCTAATTCATTCCTGTTGCTCTGCTCGTCGGACCCGGTCTTCTCTCTGTCCTGTGGGAGGTCAGCGACTTCGGGTTTGATTGGGAATCAAGCTTTCATTCAGGCGAGGGACGAACACTTCAGCTGGCGAGGGGTTGAACCCTTATCAAGGTGTACATATCGGCTGACGAGCTCAGCGCCACTCTGCTGCAGCAGCAAGCACAATTTTAGGTATCCAAACTCAGGCTGATCAAAACTCTTACACGCCAACTCTAAATCCAGACCGGTTCACTGTCTACAACCGTCAAGCCGTCCGCATCGGTAGACGCCATCACTAACAGCATTACCGAATTTTCGTACGACCCTGATGCTGACCTCACTTTTGAATCTTGGTTCAAGCATTATGAAGATGTGTTCCGCGTTGATGATGATGATTGAAAAGACCGATTGCGGTTAAGGAAACTTGGAACAGCAGAGCACTCCAGGTATGTCAACTTTATTTTGCCTAACAAAGCTCGAGACTGCACTTTTGAGGAGACTGTCAAATGCTTGGGCCAAATATATGAAGAGCGGTCATCCATCTTCAACACGCGATATCAATGCTTGAAGATCACCAAGATGGACGACGATGACTACTTCACTTAGGCTGGCATTGTCAAATGCGAGTGCGAAAAATTTGACATCGAATCCATCGCGGCACTTCAGTTCAAGTGCCTGATTTTTATCTGCGGCCTACATTCCCCACGGGATGCAGAGATTTGCACCAGGCTGCTGAGTAAATTTGAACAGGACCAGCAAGTGACTCTACAGACCATAACTACTGAACGCTAATGATTGCTGAACCTCAAGCATGACACGTTTATGCTGGAGAAGCAACAATCAACTCCAAGTCTTAGTGTATTAAAAACAACCTCAAAGAAACCACTTCCAAATGAAACAGGCCATGAAAAGCCCAGAGAGAATCCTAAGCACCGGATTGCCTGTTGGAGATGTGGTGAGTGGCAATTTGTTCGATTTTGTTTATTCCTGAAACACTTTTGCCACAAGTGTCATAAACGGGGCCATAAGGAAACGCACTGCAGATGCAGACTGCAGTTCAAGCGTACAAGACATACGCAACCGAATTCAAATGTTCCCAAAAGATTCAGCAGCTGTAGGACGGTTAAAGCAGCGTACTCTGATGAAAATGTGGTTCGTAGAAAGTACATCAGAGTTCACCTGAACGGGCAACAAGTGCATCTTCGGCTAGATACAGCCTTGGACATCACCATTATCTCCAGCAAAACTTGGCAGTACATTGATTTCCAGTCAATCAGCCGAACGACACATGTTGCACTTAACGCTTCAGGAGGTCAACTTAATCTCGGTTAGCTGCGGTGTGAAATTGTATAAGGATCTGCTCGGGCAAACGGTGTCGTGTACATTACGGGCCTGTCACATTTGAATCTTTTTTGACTCGACTGGGTCCAGAAGCTCCAACTGTTCGACATTCCCCTGAGGCAAGTCTGCAATACCCTCCGGCTCGGATATACGAGACTCTCTTCGGAAGGTGACGAACCAAACAATAACCTGATTGAGCAGTTACAAAGGAAATTCCGTCTGTGTTTTGCAAAGACTTGGGGAGATGCACAATGGCCAAAGCAAGCCTTACTCTCAAAGAGGAGCCAAACCCGCATTCCGACCCAAAAGACTGGTACCGTACGCTGCGCTGCCGATTGTGATGCAGAACAAATCGTTTGGAGCGCGTCGGCGTCATCCAACCTGTGAGCTATTCAGCGTGGGCAGCACCTACTGTTGTCATCAAGAAGACCAATGGAACCGTTCGTATCTGTGCTGACTACTCTGTGGGATTGAACGCTGCTTTGAAAATGTACCAGGATCCTTTGCCAGTCCCAGGAGATTTATTTGTTAAGCTCAGTGGTGGGGCTTACTTTGCAAAGCTAGATTTATCATATGTTTATCTTCAAATGAAGTCGACGATGCTTTGAATGAGTTGCTGGCAATCAATACGCACCGAGGTCTTTACTAGTTCAACCGTTTGCCGTTTATTGGCAAACCAGCTCTCGCGATTTTTCAACAAATTATGGATACGATGTCAGCTGGGTTATCAGGAGTCGCAGCTTACTTGGACGACATCATAATCAAAGGGGCTGCCTCTCGAGAGCTGGCGGAAGACTGGAAGCAGTTCTCCACCGCGTTAACGACTACGCTTTTCACTTGGAAGAAGAAAAGTGCAAAGCCGGCATGAAGTTTGTAAAGTATCATGGCTTCATCATCGACAATGATGACCGTCGTCTGGATCGTTCCAACATAAGTGCCATAAAACAGATGTTTCCCCCTGACAATGTCGCGAAGCTCAGATCATTCTTGGGGCAGATCAATCATTACGGCTCTTTTTTGCTCGAAATGCATCGGCTACGAGGACCGCTCAATGAACTTCTGGTAAAGGATTGCAAATCTGTGCGGTCTCCTGATTGTCAAGCCGCGTTTGCTAATGTCAAGTCTATATTGTGTTCTGACCTATTGCTAACGCATTTCAATCCGGAGCTGGAGATCATAGTTGCTGCTGTCGCGTCAGACTGCGGAAATGGAGCAGTCATATCCCACATTTTCCTCAATGGTTCGGAGTAAGCTGTGACACATGTAGACAGATCACTCACCCCCAGCGGAACGTAACTATGGACAAATCGAGAAAGAAGCTTTGGCTATATGGTTTGCAGTCAAGCGATTTCACAAAATGCTCTACGGACGAAAATTCACGCTGTTCACTGACCACAAACACTTGGTCGTAATCGTTGGATTAAAGAAAGGCATTCCAGTCTGCACGGCCAGTCGTCTCCAAAGTTGGGCAACTGTTCTACTTGGTTACGATTTCGCCATCAACTATCAATCTACACACAATATTAGTGAAGCAGATGCGTTATCTCGTTTAATTGGTACGCAGCAACAAGAACCAGAGGATTTGGTAGTTGCTCAAATCTCCGTAGAACCCCAAATACATCAAGTTGTGTCTGACATTTTCGGTGCGTTACCAGTAACGTTCGAAATGGTGCAGGAAGCGACCCGTCATGATTCTACCCTACAACAAGTGCTCGATTTCCACCTCAGTGGCCGGCCTAAGAGAGTTACAAAGCCGGAGCTTCAACAATGCCACCAACGGAAGGAAGCACTACCAGTCGTCAGAAATTGCCTGCTGTTCTCAGATCGTGTCGAAATTCCTCACGTCCTTCAAGAGAGAGTCCTCCGACAATTTCATACTGGCCACCCGGGAATTTATCGCATAAAATCACTGGTACGAAGCTATGTGTATTGGCCCTATATAGATTCGCAGATCGAGAATTTATCCAAGAATTGTCCGCGATGTACCAGCGTATCTAAACAACTAAGGAAGACAGAATTGCAATCCTGGCCAATACCAACGGAACCATGGTCAAGGTTACACGTCAACTTTGTAGGTCCAATTGACGGCCATCAATTTCTCATCGTTGTCGATGCTCACAGTAAATGGCTGGAGGTGATTCCAATGGTGAGAACCACAGCAGCAGCCCTCGTCACCACTCTCCCACAGATATTTTCTTGTTTCGGTGTTCCCCACACGTTGGTTTCGGACAATGAAACACAATTTACCTCATCTGAATTTGTCGTCTTCTGTCGCAGAAACGCGATCGTCTACGTAAGGTCTCCACCCTTCAACCCACAATCGAATGGGCAAGCGGAAGGATTTGTGGATACCCTCAAAAGAGCTTTGCTAAAGATGAAGGGGAAGGTACCTTGGAGGAGATTCTTGACACATTTCTTCTGACGTATCTCACAACTCCGAATCCGCAGACACCGAACGCTCTATCTCCAGGTGAAACTTTGTTTCAAAGGAAAATCCGTGTACCGCATGATGCCCTCATACCCAGGAAGGATCAGTTACTGTCTTGCAACTATCAGATGGAGCGTCAATTCAACATCCGACACGGTGCTCGGAAGCGAACCTTTAATGTTGGTCCACAAGTTCTGGCGAGAGATTATCGCATCCACTATCCTAAATGGGCTATCGGCCATGCACTAGACAAACGTGGTAACATGATCTACGGCATCCAGGTTGGGACAGCAATTTCGGACATGCCAAACAGTTGGTAGAGGCACGGACTGGCGAACAAGTGCAAAAACATGTACCTGCAGCACCGTTACCTCTGGACATACTGGCCGACGCGAGTGAAGCGAAGACTCCCCAACATGCTCCAACACAGCAAGCACAACCTTCGCCCCGAAAGCTAGCAGCACAGAGGCCGAAGCGGCGACGCAAATCCGTGTCACCTATGCAAGTCAACCTCAAGCTGAAATCGTACAACACAAATCAAAGGCGGAAAGTGTTTGGAAGGAATACGCGAGTCGAACAAGTCAGCACTCCTTCGCCTCGGCCGACCACCCAAACTCATCCGCTCTGATTGGGGCTAACAGGAAGCCAATCAGGAGAAGCGGCCAATGAATGCTAGGTCGAATTTCCTTTATTGGTTGTAAGTTAACTTTTCCAGAGCTTTCCAATGTCGCTTTAAATACTACTCACGAAGTTTCCATGTTACCTTTGTAAGGAACTGTGTGATTTGCTAATTCATTCCTGTTGCTCTGCTCGTCGGACCCGGTCTTATCTCTGTCCTGTGGGAGGTCAGCGACTTCGGTTTTGATTGGGAATCAAGCTTCCATTCAGGCGAGGGACGAACACTTCAGCATGTAATCAGAGTCTGTACCAATATTTTTGGGTGCAATCCAGCTAATTCATTGCAGTATGTCCAGGCACTCTTTCACACAAGCATCATAGCTTTCGGCAAATATGGTTGGCGGCATCCGGTTTCGGATTTGCCTGTCACTGTGGCAAGCCACAGGACGCCTGCGCCTACAGAGGGACCATGGATGGCTTGCGCTGCACCACCCACAGCTCCAACCACATACCCCATATCCAGTGTAAACCCGAAGGAATAAGACCGGGAGGCATGCGGATGGGAACCACGTTTCATCATTCGGCAAATATATATGGCTAATTACCAACCTACTATATCGCTGCTGACCGGAGTGCAATTTCTTCGTCCACAAGCCGGAGAAACAGTGCGAAAATGAGCACATGATCAAGATGAAAGCGTGTTGTATATTCACAACTAAGAAATGGTCGGGTATTAGGGGAAATTTTCGCTGTATTCCTATAACATTCAATGAACTATACATCGAAATATTCCGTGGATGATTTGAATACTATTTGATCTCTCCATTGTGGAGAGTAAGATGGTGAAACGAATTTTGAGGCCCTTCTATTTTTCTGATGCGTGCATAGAAATATTTCATATTCGACTGCATCGCGACCGTAACATTGCCTCTGCTACATTTGAAAACACTTACCAACTGATGAGTTGCAAGGTGTTCGCGGTAAGTTGGACACTGAACAAGGGTTTGCCAAGGGCAGACAAGCAGGTGATTGACTAATTCCTAAAAACTTTTGGAATGAAAACTGATCAACCAATATATTAGTCTCTTAATGTATTAGAGATGTAATAATTTCTATACCTACTGTTTCCAACAATCTTCCTGTAATCGAAAACTTTATTGTTGACAAAAATCATGTCCTTCACATCGCCATGCTGAAAGGCAACTACGCCGTTACGCGGCGAAAACATCAGCAATGGATTTGTTTGGCCATCACATAACACCCTTAACATCGTACACTTTTATTTACTGGGCACCGACCAGAACCATATAACGTCGACCAACAATGTACCATAAAGAAAGGTTATTTCAAACTATGCTGTGTTCTTATAGGTTAGGTAAAAGTCGTTGTAAGATTCACCACACATTAAATTGTCACCTGGAGAGCGGCTGGAGCTGTACGAAAACCTAATTGCTTCATAGCATTAACTGCCTTGCTCAATGGATACGGATGTGCCACAGACTTCATAATGTTCCAAAGTTAGCAATTCAAAACAGTTTTGTTTTGAATGTCATAGTGTCTAATTCATGGTTGAGTATGCAACGTTGTGACCATAGAGAAAACACAAAGTTCCAAATACTTAAATCGGATAGTTCTGTTTAGCAACATTTTTAAATCTAACATATCTGACTTGACAACCAATACTCTGGACTCACATTAAAACAGTAAAGTTGAGTGTTCTCACTGAGAATTGGTAATTTGCTTCCGTAACTATTCAACTCTCACCTACCTATCTCTCCAATCCGACTGTATTTTGCAAGGTCCTCCAGAAATCGTCGATGTTCGACAATCATGCATTCTCGGTTAGAATGAAAAAATTGTTGATCAACTGTAGGGTGGAACACGATCAGAACGAATTTTGGGATTAGATAAACATTGGAAATAAATTACAAACTCATATTTTGAAATGGCAACATAACTTAGCTTCTCGACCGGAAAAGCAGAATTCAGGAATTAGGCATATTATGGTCAGCCGTTTACATGCACTTCGCGGAATGTCTAGGTTAAGTGGAGAGAGCCGAAAAGCGCGACTAAGCCATCCATGACTGTCCAGAATACACGAAACAGTTGAAGCAGTGGTTTATGCGTTTTATATCAAACCATTTCGATTATTGTGTCCATTTTGCATAACCATGGCAGTATTTTTATTGGTTATGCCTTCGAAACATTCAAAAGGAATGCGACGGAATTTAACGATTTGAACTGTTTTCTTTCTAATGAAAGCGCTCGATACTGCACAGCGTAGGGCAACGAAGAGCGTCAGAGGTTTGACCAGCCTCCCCTACCCACTCAGGCTAAAGACCCTTAAAATCTACAGTGGACGTTATCGGCGGCTAAGGGGCGATCTTATAATGATGTACCAGATCCCGAGAAACCCCAACCACCCATGCCATTCCCCTCTAGTACTCAGTCAAAACACCTCGCTAAGAGGTCACCAGTTTAAGTTAGTCACGCAGTACAGCCGCATGGAATGTCGGCGAAACTATTTTTCCCTTCGAGTGGCACAGCCTTGGAACGCCCTCCCCGAACACGTAATTAATGCACCCACCCTATACCTTTTCAAAAAACGCCTTGAAGATACCCTGTCACATTTACACTACGTGCTATAGCTCTTGACCACCGGATGCTGGCACTAATGCACAACAGACGGGATAGTGCCATAACCCAACTCGGGAGCGAGTCACTCCAAACGCCTTGCACACAATTTGCTAAACGCTACTACTATAGAAACTGGATTTCTGTATCCTGTCGACGGACAATAATCGCACACAAGTAAGCGTTGTCCTTGCTATCGTTTTTTTTTAACTTTTTCTCGCCTATGATGTGAACAATAACCACTCTCCTGTTGCTTTGTGTGCGTACATTCTCGTTTCGAACCCCCTTTATATGAAAATGCAGTTACATCTGTAAGCGCCCTAACTGACAACATTATCCCTTCGCTATCTTTATTGTCACGCTATCCACCCTACGGGACATGTCAGCACCTGCTTTTTACCCGTCATAAATCATTGTTCATTGTTCATTTACTTGCACATGGCCGTTAATTTCTTCCTTTTAGGACATCTGCCAATTTTAATGAAAAAGCTTCGTGAATGAATTGTGGTAGTTGGCCATCAACAGATTCCCATTGCACCTGGCATACAATGTTTTCTTTTTACATAAATACTGCTCATATTTCCTCGGTATGAGTAACAGCTCCTTCCATGTCTCCTACAAATGGTACCTGAGGACATAGTGGGCATACGGAATCATAGGGAATGGAGCGAAGCATCAACGCACGGATCCAACCGGTACAAACTTACTATCTCTACTTTTTATCCAATGTGAGTTGAAACATTCTGCGGTATAAAATCTATATTGTTTAACATTAAACGCGCGTTACGTACGTAGTTTATTAAATGAGCACACAGCCCATTTAATTTCATTTGAATTTCATGAAAGAATGAATAATTCTGTATATTTTTATATGAATCAGACTTCATTAAACTTAAGTAAGCCTACCATACTTTATTGTAAGCCAGGGCAATTTATTTTTCTGGAAATCAGATAAATCGTGTTACACTAAAAGGAACGGAAACGGTATGTGAGAATTACAGAGAACCCAGCTTGAAAGCAATCTGGTTAATCCGGTGTCGTTGTCTAATAGCAAAGGGTACTTTCAGGGCCGTTCTTTAATAAGCCACCTTTTTTGCTAGCCATATCCGAATTTGAAAAAATTCGAAATTAAACTATTTGGTCGAAGTTGTTTTCTTTGTTTGAAAATGTCTAAACTATCTGTGGAGCATTTCTGCAACCTCCTTACCACTTAGCAGGAAGATTTGGACACTGGCATTAACTTTTTATCCTAAAATTCTGATGGATGTATTAAACTGCATTTGATCAAACAGGGGCAACAGTGCTCGCACAAATTAAGCCTTAAAGACATAGGGAACAAATATGTCCCACAGATTAAATTGCATGCACTTATTTTATTTACCCCAGAATTATAGGGCGAAAAAGTTGAAAGCAGCCCAAAGGTCATAGGACACCGGAAACGGACAGTAATATTGTTTGTGTGCTTCAAACCATCATTTTGTAATGACCGGAAAGTGCTTGCGTTTCGTCATCACCTGATGTGCGCTTCTCTTACGTGCCTCAATTGGTTGAGCGCATATTTTGCGTAGAGGCAATCGATACCTGCAGTTAGTACGATAATGGATTTAAGATAAGTAGTAGGCATCCATACTAAAAGAAAATTGTTCTGAGGTGATCGGTTGGAGGCGTGATTACTTGTGCTTACTATTATCATAATAATAATTAGTGTTTCATACCGAAATCCTAACTTTTTGTAAAGGGTATGATAGCATTTTTACCAGACGTTTATCGGGTGCTTTATTCAGTAAGATTGCCATATAAATGCTTTGCTGTGTTGGCGCTTGGAACAGCCTAATTTAGCTCAAAAAAGCCAGGCGCCATAGATAATAGATAATATAGATTTAGCGGTATTACATGTATCCACTTGACTAAACTTATGTATGGTTGTAGTAAGAGCATGTTAAGTATATGAGTTCTCTGTCCGAGATCAGAAACAGCCAGTAGAAAACATGCGCTATTCAGCATAAGCGTGATAAAAAAAACCTTTGAAGTTCACCTTGAAAATACTGTTTATTTTTTAGGAACCTAAAACCACGACATACCTGGATCATGAACAATTTGTAGAAAAGCGTCCAGCGCCTGAAGACATATCGACTGAGCTGCACTGGCCCCGATAGTTTGCAGCCGCAGCCATTTCGGCTCACTTCCTAACGAAGCAAATGTTATAAGCGAGCAGGTGAACCTGGGCACTGCAAATGGTTTTGTTTACTTGCTGTAAGTGGTACACCTTCGTATACTAAGCCTTGTCCATTTGTACCACCTGACCAACTGCAAAGTTGGAAAACGGAAGACCTTACACAAGAAGCAAACATAACAATTTTATGTAGGCTGACAATGTAGTTTCGCTGAAAGTGAGCTATCCAAATTGAGCACATTCCTACCGATGACAGGAGGTAAATTAGAAAGCTTTTTTGAACGTGCGACAAATTCCAACGGTTCATTAGAGGTTTATCGCGTGGTCAGTTATGAAGTAACTGAGACCTCTATTATGTTGGAAAACTTCATATATTTGTCGCCGTTATTTCACACAAGACCCCAGTAGCTAAAATTATTTTAGTGATAACAAATCGTTGTTAACTGTAGTGGACACAGGGAGCATATCAAAAATGTTTCGCTTACTCTATGTTTTATTGGGCGCTACTGCACGACCACATGGTCCACAAACAGGCCAGAGTGATATTTATTTAGCAAAATGAACTACGTGCTATAGTTACAAATCTCGGTTGACTCAATTGACGTGAATCCAATAAATTCCTCATATTACTTCAGCGCTTACTACCCAAATCTTCAGAATTTATATTCCGTCCACGGGGCCGAATCTTACTCGGAAAAACAAAGGAATCATCACTTGTCGTTATTATATTTTTAGCTGTCTACCTCCTTGGGAAATTTTAACGGACGAAATACTAGTTTCCATCTGAGTTGTGAAATAGTAATAAATAGATAAATAAGTGGTAAAGATTTCGATAAATCGGTAGCCTTTGTAGTAAAGCTCAAAAACGACTTTACTACACATAATAATAACAGCACGTATATTTCTCATGATGCAAGTAACTGTCCGTATCGGTATAGATACGCAAAAGCATCCATGTTGTTGAACGGGCGGCATGCAATGTTAGAACTTTTGGGTTTGCGTTACATATAGTTACGTTCTGTTGGCTATTTTAGGAAAAAGCCTCGTTTTGAAACTTTTATATTTTATGCATTTTGGGCATCCTGGAATGGCTCATCGAGTGATTTTTGCCGCTCAAAAATAGTGTTAATGGTAACATTATGGTGTTGCTCATCCCAACACTGGCACTCCACGACCGCGGTTTCGTCCTGCATTGGACTCCTCAGGTAGAGATAGCCTGAGCTGGGCTGGAACTCAGAGCATAGTGGCTCATGGTTGAAGCCATAAGCACTATGCCACTGGGATCCGTTTTCATAGTATTTAGAACAGGCTAATTGGAGAGTCTTCTAAATCTTGCTACACTGTCACATATCCTGAATGTGATTGGTGGCTTCCTCCATCAATAGCTATTTTCGACAAGAAGAAAATTAAATTGAACGTTCGTCCTAGCTTTCGGTATACTCAATGAAAAGCTTTACTCCGGGCTCCCGAGTCGAACTAATTTGTAGTTTGTGTGTAGGTAGGTCGAAATTGGTCTACATGTGTAGCAAGTTGAAAAGCAGCAACTAGATATGTTTCATACCTCGAATCCGATGTGCTTCGAGTTTAAGTTCCTTACAACTTTCTCGATAACTCATAGCAGAGTGCTCACTAATCAGATGTTTAGTAGATGACCTCTGTTGGATCTGCACAGTAATCTCGTCCCTGTTTCTCATATTGCCGTCTATTATGCTGTAGTGTTCGAGGATTGGACGGTGAGTAGATTTAAGTGCTCAAGTCCAGCATGGCTTGCGTGGAGTTTGATGGATTTATTGAACATGGGTTACATTACACGTGCTAAATGGTATTTGGCCAGTTCAGAGAAAGTGTAGGTAAATGAAACCTAATTCCCAGATCACAAGTAGGCAGCTGTGTATGGGGGTGTTCGTTGTTTAGTATGACAGGTCCCTCGTGGGAGGAACAGTCGTAATACCTTATGCTTGATTTCTTAACCGAGATATGCATCGCCCGTATGTGGCATCAAGACTCAAGGAAATATACGTCATCTTGAAATGGCAGCATCGCTAAGTTCGTCACAACGAAGCTTATTGACAATCTTGAAATCCTCAGCAGATAAAAGTGGACGAATATTTTTTACAAATGTTGTGATGTCATTGGTATACAGCAGATAGAGTGAGGGATCAAACACGCTCCTTGAATGATTCCACTGGTGATGGGGCGTGGAGAAAAGCGACCGTCACCTAAAGTGACTACCTGGTGAAGACCACAGGTCTAACAATAGCCAACTTGGTAATGGGTCTCCGGATCCCAAACGTTGTCATCTATTGCAACAATCGCTTGTGTGGTATTCCATCAAATGCCTAGTGCATGTTCAGAAACAGAATTACTACTACATAGCTGGAAAAGATCGATTCTGAAATGTGGTTCCGGTAATGCATATGGCAGGTTTTGCATCATCGCTTGCTAAGAAAACCATGTTGCGAATTATTGATAAGGCCAAACCAATCAAGAAACTTCATTATCAGCTTCCTGACCAGTTTTTCAAATAACCGAGCGATTATGGGAGTGTGGTGCATTGGTCGGTAGTTATCGATCCTTTGCTTGGAACTTCCCTTGTGCCCAGACAAACTAAAGGTAGTTTTCCTTGATATGGAAAGTGGCTAGATGCCAACGATAGGATAAACAAGTTCAGCAGCAGCAGTGGCATATCAGCACTACTAGTTTAATGGCGGTTATTAAAATGTCATCAGATCTAAGTTTGGAGGATGGCCCGATTGACTTGTTACTTTGATGAATACCGTTGAGCGCGTTGTGGATTCTGCTTGGGAGGTTGGTTAATATAAGCCGTGTGCACACAGGCGCGGGTCAGGTTCAAACTCATGGAAGTGGCCAAAATGTCACTTAATGCTTCATAAATGGCAGCTGAATCAAGAATAAATCAGCTTTCACTGTCAACGGTTTCAGCGCTCAGAGTAAAGCGGACACTAGTTGTATGGTGCAGTATTTTACAAGCTTCCTAGCATTGCGGCTTTTTCATGGTGTTCGTCGTGTTAACACCGCACGTTTGAATCAGGTAGGAAAGGCTTGCATTTGTAAGATGGGGAAAAGTCATGGGTCTGCCTGTAACGCAGGTAATTGTTCATTTTTCTGATTTAGTGCTCAATGGCATCATTGGAAGCATGAGGGTAATGAACGTGTTGGGGCGCAAGGAGTGCTATGGCGTAGTGGATTTGATTATAAAACTACTCCAGAGGTGTACACACTGGTAGAGAGGAAGTACACTTGACAATCCGAAAGACAAATTAACTGATGAAAGTGTTCCCAGTGTATTTTATCGGTCGCATGTCGCGGTGTAGAGGCGCGTTTAGTGGCTATTTTAATGTATAAATTTCATCGGATCCTTTTACGGTCGCTGCCAGGAGATCGCTTAACATCTCTCTGTGGGTTGGGTAACCGAATGAGAATAATACGTCAAATACATTGGCGAATCGAGTTGGACCGGCAACAAGTTGCGCTTAACCTCCTGTTCCACGTGGGAAATCAACTTCTTGCCTGTTGTTCCAATATTCACATTTTCGACGCGACCTTTTCTGACGCGTACAGCGCGAATAATTTTAGGCGCCCAGTAAAACACTACGGTTGTTTACTCAGATGTGGAATCATGCAGCAATACATCGAGCCGTTTGCTTACACAAAACAAGTTACTCACTCTAATCGTATACAATTATTAGCATTAAACTGAGCTGTTGTACCCGGTTGCAAAGTATAATGTAATAAGTTGTGTGTTCTTTAGCTATGCCGTCTCTGCTCCCAATCTAGCGACCTTTAAAAATCGACTTGACGCAGCGCCGTCCTATTTTTATTCCATTTTTAAACTTTAAAACTTTAGAATTTAAAACGTGCCAAACGGTATGTTTACAAACTCCCAAACAATGGATTTATGGATTTACAATTTTAATACGCCAACATTTCCGCTATTCTACCTAAGTCTATGGTGGGTTCACCAAAACGCTTTTCCACTTATCATGAATTTTCAGTTTTGCAAAACGTTCCAGCCCACAGGATTTGTTAAGCATTGCTTTTTTTCCAGTAATACACTGTCGTTCCTTAGTTTCATCGTTCGCAGGGTTTCATAGTATCACTCATGCCTTTTGTTAGTATAGGCATTGACTTTCTCCTACATCTCTACTTATAGTTGATGTTAAAATGCAGTAGCTTGTTTACTCTCGGACACAACCCATTACTATCCGGACTAGTGCCAAGTTGGCCGCCGTCATTCCAATTCTGTTCTGCCATCAAGATTCACGGCCTCCCATAGACCTTTTAATCTGCACTTTAAGCTTATTCGCGTCCTGGTAGATTTACCTCCTGTGAAGTCAGATGTCACGCTACATCTGCACTAAGGGAAACTCTACTTCGGCCCGCCCTCGTAGACTGTCCCTGGACAAGTTGAAAGCTGCTAAGACGGAACTTCAGTAAATGCCCGAACTTGAATAATATGCATGTCCAAATGTCCATAGGTATTAACATTGACATGGAACCAAAGAAATCAGGTGAATGGCCTACCAGTGCTGAATACAGGGTACTCAACAAAGTTACTGGATAAGTACCCGATTCCCTGCAAGCATGAGTTAACCTCATTTCTGGTTGGTAGGTCGATCTTTAGTCAATTAGAATTAAAGCGCGCTTTCCTACAAATACCTGTGGTGCTAAAAGTTATACTTAAAAGAGCATTGTTTATTAACCTGTTTGGACGTTTCAAGTACGTGAATATGCCCTATGGATGTAACAAGGCTGATCAAGCTTTGAGCGTTTCATCCACAATTTAACGCGTGGACTCCAAGGTACTTATGGCTATTTATATGACATAACCATCACCAGCTCTTCTAATGATGAAAAAATTTGTTGATTTTGCGCACTTTTCAGACGATTGCCAAAATCGACGTTCCTTTCACCTCGATAAATGCGGACTAGGTGAAAACGCCATGGACTTACTTGACCACAAAAATCCACCGCTGGTATGTTAGCATTATCAGACCATATCCAAGCCCAGCAAATCATCCTACTCCTAGTTCACTGGAACAGCTCCGTCGATTATGTGGCCTGCTAAACACGTCATTCCTAACTGCGCGAGGATTATGCAACTAATGATGGA